GACACGAGTGGGCGTGGTACACGTCCCCAATGGTGGGGGTAACCCAGTGACCTTGAGCCGAATAGTTTCCGAGGATTCAATGGAAAACCCTAGGATCCGAGCGTCGTTAACATTAAGTTTACGGAAAGCGTCGATCGGACGCATACTAAATTTTATAAGCATTCGACGGCAAATATTTACATTGATTTCGATTAATGTAATTACAGGGATTAACTACTGAATAATTAATAACTTCTTACTATTGCTATTCTTCCTATTAAAAGTAAACAATAACTTAATTAGCTACTAAATATTAAAGTACTTCTTACTATCACTATTCATCCTATTAAAAGTAAGAAATAACTTAATTACTTCTTACTATGACTATTCTTCTTAGTAAAAGCAAATAATAACTTAATTAACTACTAAATAATAGATTACCGACTGAACAAAAATCAATTTTCCTATGAACAATGGAACAAACTGCACAATAAATGCCCGTAAACCTAGTGTTAATCCAATCCTACGCGGGCCCGTAATGAAACGCACACGTGCCGCGTTTCGCGGAGCAGCGTTCGTTAATCGAACACGACCGCGAGTGCGATCGCGCGCATTAATCAGCGCAGCAAGCGCGCGGAGGCTCATTAAGCGGCGTTAAGCTCGCGCGCGCGTGCACTGAGGATCGATTATCCATGCTCGCTTTCATTGTCCCTTCTAACGTTCGATTCAATGCGAACAGGCACACTAGCGCTAGGAAATCGGCGCCGTTGCTGATCGGTTTCGTAGATAAGTCAACCGTGCGCGAACGATTTCGAAACGGCGGAATTCGATTCACGGACTGCCCGTTGCTGACGTTTCATTCATAGACGATGAAACGTGATTAACAGGAAATAAACAGGATATTATCGACACGGAATCGAGAATACTTCGGTTCGTAGAGCAACATTTAGTACATCTTCGTATTTCGGTAACAAGGAATCTTCCAAACTGCCTACATAAAATTAAATTTGTATCGACTTACCAAAATTTTCTTCATTTTTAATTACGAAAGAAAGAATGCGTGTTTTAAATGAAATAGAAAATTCTAATAATTCATTTGCGTTGAACGAACACGGAAGTTAGGTAAAAGCTTATGGATTGGTTCCGAAGACGAGCCTGTAACAACTACCGGAAGTATTGAATTCTCAAATCTCATCGAAAAGGGGACACAAGAGCAATTTCGAATATTCTTTAAACAGCTTGAGTACTTTTATTCTAAAACCTGTGCACTGATGCTACATTTACAACGTCCCTTGTCAAGAGTAACCGTCTGCGAATAGTAAATAAAACGGAAACGCGATTTACCAAAGTTCTTCTAGTTTTAGCTCGCTTCGGGGGACAAGAGTTTCCACGAAAAACGGGGGAATCGTTAATTAAACGGGCGTCTGGTTGTCGCGGGACGTGCGTGGTTGCGCAAAACCGCGGCCAGGGCGACACCCACGGCGGCCCAGCTGGAAGGTGCGCGCGCGAGCCTAATCTAACGCCGGGCAGAGGTGCGCGACGGTGAGGCTGCGCTTCACGGCTGGTTCGCATCGGTGCCAAGGTTGCGTTCGTGCTGGTACACGGGATTAACCGAGGCAATCGCGAGGCGTTCTGGAGTCCGGCCGCGTGGCCGGGGAAACGCGATTCTCATAAATTCGTTGCACAGGAGTTGATCTTTGACAGGAATGCGGACCTAACTGATCACTTTTCATCTTTTCTTATCTCATTTTCCAAACTAATTTGCTGTTCTTCAATACGGTTGTGTGTAACCAATGAAACCTATAAACAATACGCATAGCGAGAGATGTCTCTTATTAATGCATTGTCCCGGAGGTCCAACTCCTGTTCGACGAAGAGTACCATGCAAAAATCAGGGTAAAATAGGTCTTCCGCTGTACGCTTCGTTTACTCTCATTATTACGCAATCGATTATTATATTTGACCGTTTCGAGAAACCACACGTAAGATCATTGTCTAACATTTTCGGTTCTAACGTGCGATCTCTGGACATTTAATTCTGTTGACCCCTCGCAGTATCATTTAGCAACATCCGGGCCATAATTATGATGACCGATATCTCATGCGTATTGTGGCCTCGAGTCTCTCGTGACGTTTATGCTTGGTCCTTTAAAGGGTTAAAATCACTCGAGACACAAAATAGCAAAGATAATGAGCATATCGAGGTAAGACATTATTATAACGGAACACCACTCGGAAGTATTTCCTTCGGACAAGGGAGAGCCTAGTTCAAGGTCTCCGAGTCTGAAGCCCTGGGAAGAAGACGAGGTTCCGAGCCGGTGAACGCGAGTTTTCCAGCGCGGATTCGGCCCGTGTAATTTCGCCAGGTGAAAAAAAAGGGAAACGTGTGTGGCCGCGTGCTGCTCGGCAATAGGGGCACGCGATAACGCTCGAAAACGCTCGTAAATTGCGGGCAGCGGGCGTAGATAACGAAGCGCATTGGCGTGACCTTCTCTCGCGGCAAACGTTTGCGGGCCGCTTTTCAAGCCGCGAATGATAACGTGAGCCGCGCGCGCATGCGCGGCCGCCCGCAAATTGCACCATTCAGGTTTCAATAGCCGACCTTCACCCTACGAGCATCGGGACACAACGCCGCGAGACAGCTTTCCTGCGTCAGCGCTACGAAAGTTTCACATCGGAACCGTCTAACTCTGAAACTAACTGGTCACTCTTTGGAAACGCGGTGCAGTTTCTTCCTATTCCGATACCGGCCAGATTAGAAGCAGATCTTGAGATGTATAGGTCGGTTTTACGGTATAATTAGCCCTGTGCGGTCGAATGTCGCCGTAATGGTGACCTCGAGCTTCGATATCTAAAATGGGAAACTGCTTATTGAATTTAATCGTTCAACTAACGACAGAATGACACGTGCTTTTTTTATTTTTAGTAATTACGACTTCGATGCATGATTCAGCTTTTCATAAAAAAAAACGTTAGAAGTTCAAGAAGTCTCGTCCGCAAAGAATTAGATCTAGCTTGGGTACGTTGGCTACAAATGATTGAATACGTTGATTTCCGGATCGTTAATTTCAAAAATTAGAACATACAAGATTGTAAAATATCAGAAGATTTTTGAAAGCTACTACAATCACTAAACTGAAATCTACTGAACTCTTGAAATCTGAAATTTGCTGGATACTTCGCGGATTTAATCGTTCTAAAAATGACAAACGAGTGGATCGAAGCGGGTGCTCGGTAGCCAAGGAGGTATTCAAAATTGTGAAACTTGCTTGAAATTCCTGTTGAGATACAGATCGAAGTCTTTGATCGATTCATTTAATTTCTGGGTTGAAAAATCGTTGCAAAAACTGATCGGAATGAGGATCGGCCGTCCAGGTGGATCGGAAACCCGATCCTCTAATTATCTCTCGATGAGCGAAAGAACGCCGTGCCGGCGATGTGTCTCGCGTTAACACGCCCACGCGTCACCACGGAATTACAGCGAAGATAGTCCCGGTGGACTGGCGAATAGATAAAGCGCGAGCCTTGAGAATACCGCTAATTGACTGTCTAGCACCGCTATGCTAATTATTCGCACGTTTCGGTCTCGTTCGCGTATCCCGCCGCCGGTTTTGAAATTCTGCTGCGCAAGGTAATTCCCGACCGGTATCGATTTTAATCAGCAAGGACGCTCATGAAAGCCAGCAATTATGGATACATGCTCGTCGAGCGACGCGATTATCGTTGCGCACAATTTGCTTTTCGTTCCCGCGTCGAACGCGTAAACATCTCTCAAGACGGCCCGCGACGTTCGTCCTCCTTTTTTCCTTTCCATCGATACGCCTGTAACGCATCGCGTCTCCTTAAACGCCTAGCACCTTGGCGATTCCCAAGCACATTAAATGAAGTTTCTCGTTCAACGAAACGCTTTCGTTCCGAGAAAATCGCGGTGAATCCCTTTGAACAGCGACGGCTGGGACTTGATTAGTTCTTTTCCTTTCGTATCGTTCCTCTTGCTTTCGCTGTGGATCTTCTATAATTACGGCGAACGAAAGATCGTGTTTATAATCGCAATTTCTATGCATTCACGAATGAGATAGGGGTTCGCGTAACTATCGATTTACCAAGTGCTTGGTACTGCGAAGGGAACCGTGAAGTTCAATTAAAATTGATGTTATATTATTCTCGACTCATACCGATCGCGAAGAAAGACTTTTGCGTAATGCTCTTCGAGAAATTAACTATTAATATAGTGGGAATGGATGTATTTGAGTGTGTGAATAGATATATTGATGAGTGATGAATGTGTGTGTGTAATAGATGAATGACGCGACTGTGTGTGTAAGCGCGTTTTGAATGAATGTTCAAAGCATTGGAATATTCTAGATTATATTGATTTTCTCTATATGTTAATAATGTTCGTTTTTTTTTATGAATCTAGAATATTCCAAATATATGTGAAGTTAATGCATGGTAATGAAAGAATGTTCTATGATAGAAAGTGTGTGAGTGAGACAAGAGCATCTGAGTATATAAATAGTGTGTGCGTTGTTTGATTTAGTTAGTGTTTTATTGTGAGTAGTCAAGAAATAATTTTACTGTTTCTAATAAAATTCTCTTTATCCTACAATATTACAATGTTAATGTTATCGACTATTATCCATTAGTAATATCACTAACTTAGTATATTACTCTACTATGAAACTAAAACTTCGATCGTCTACTCTTCGATCGTGAAGTACCAGTCAATGATACCTTCTCAATGTTTCTCTAAAAATGCTTGCTTCTTCGAAAATCTTAAATATCAATACACTGTGTCAATTAATGGCCCATATGTCCTTCAAATCGAATCGGCGAATTGGCTCGGACCAGAAAATAAAGTAACAGTAACTGCAGAAAATAAGATAATAAAATAGGAAGACACGGTATCGCTGTCAAAGATAAAAAACGATCGATCTGAACTGAATCTGAACAAATCGATCAGTAAACTATCAATGAAAATCGGGACGGGACAATGATAAATCATAAGATGAGATACATACAAGTGTTGCCTCGCGACCAATGCTGGGCCTGAGTCCCCTGGATGATGGCGGTAACCGACATCATCGGCTTCTCCTTCTTCATCATCCTGGCCGTCTTGATCTTTCTCTGTTCGCTCGTCACTTTTACTCCTCCTCCTCCTCCTCCTCCTCCTCCTCCTCCTGTGCCGCTGCTCGTACCGACCACAAATGGGATACGCGCACGAACACGCACACGTGGTTCAATTGGACCGCGAGCGACACTCTCGTCGCGTCATTTCGAAAACGAAAAACGAACGACTCTCCCACGCACTTTTGGTATCGATTTGGTATCGTTCGTTGCGCCCTGCTGCCCTTCGTTTCCTCGGTTCCCGATTCCTCTGCGATCAACAGGGTTCATCCAATCTCACGTTATTTAGGAATCAAAGTTTCCTAACGCTAGGTTCACGGGGATTTATTGTTGCGTTTACTGTATTGTTCGCGGAAAAATTGATTCTCGTTTATTGAACGTTTAACAAAAATTTGCGGAATTCATTGTACGTCAAGTTGCGTTCCGTAAGCCTAGTGTTGAGGAAACCTTTATTTCAAAGGGAATTAGGAGGATCTTTATTGCAGAGTGTCGCAGAAAATATCGCCTTTGATTTTCTCGTTTCCACGTTATGACAAAGGGAAGACGTGCTTTTATGTTAACGCTAGAATTACCAGTCAGAATGATTAGTCATAATGATATAAAAGTGTCGTGTATAAGGAATTATTTAGAAAATTGATAGGTAAATTGTCTTGAAAATGAATAGCTTCAAACATTAATAGAAGCTTACAGAAACGTTGGCGATCTACGCGTTAAAGAAACCAAAATGTAATTTTATTCGCTCATATATAAATGCATCTTCGATGTTTTTCCAACGGATAAAATCACATTCCCAAAGCAAATATACTTTTCCCGATGCGCAGAATTCAGCGAAGGAAACCGAGGATTTTATTACGAAAATACAAAAATGATTTCTCGTTGAGTTTCTGGCTCGAACGAGAACGAGTGCGTTATTTTCTGGGACACTCGGACGCATAAAAAATATTATTAAATGCGCCGTGCCTCGGAACACGAGGGTCCCGAGGACACGATGAAATAAATGTTAACGATTCCCGGTTCCCGGGGGAGCGGGCTCCGGATACGCGCGCCCAGAAACCGAGAATACATGGACGGAAGAAAGAAACGGAGATCAAACGAATCTCGCGACGAGCGCCTGGCTGGCCGCAATATTTTACCGGTTTTTACGCGTTCCGCGACCGTCGAAGGAAAGCTCGAGTTATTCGTCGCGGGGAGCCTAAAAAATGGTACTTTTCTTCGTCGAGTTGTATTAAAAATCGTAATAACGATTATAAAAGTAATACGTATCACATGAATTTAATCGGCAATTATAAAGAACATAAAGAATTTCAATCAAAAGTAATCAGCAGCGAAGAAGAAAAGAAACGTTCGTTTCACCGAAACAGAGGTGCAACCGGAGCAAAGAATGCATCTTCGGGAGAAGGTCGGTCAAATGCGTAAAATAAAGTTCTCTCGCAGCTCGCCTAGCTTCCGAGAAGCCAGAGTTCGAGTTTCAAACGCGAGAGTTATCGAGCAGAGCGGCTAACGCGTCTGATCGTCGCCTGCCGTTTCCACTTACGGACGCGCACGTTGCAAACGGAATACGAACAGACTTTGAACGGCCATTTTGTCGGGAACGAAGTTTCACACGAGAAAACGGTACTCTACATTTCAGACTCAATATACTATGTAAAATCAGTCTGGCTTCGAACTCGTCCCATTGAACCAACGACAACCCTCGTATTCACCGTTGAACGTTTCGGTGAATGTTCGAACTCGTGTATTGCGAGCGTTAAAACGAAGAGAAAAAAGGAAAAACAATTGGAACCTCGAGTTTCCCCGACAGTTTCCTCGTGGGAGAAGAAACTGCAAGTTAACTGGAATGTCTGCAATGGTAGTTACGGTGCAGCGACCTTGACCATAGGCGTGTAGGCAGAAAATACAATTGGCTTGGCCGAGCGGCGACTCCACTCGACTCGACTCGACCCGACTCGGCTTGGCTCGGCTCGGCTCGGACCGATCGCGCGCCAGGAGCACGGAGAAACAATGCTTACGTAACGCGAGCAATTATGCAAAATGCAACTATGTCCACGTGCGTGTACCAGCCGCGGTGCATCTCCTATTCTCAGGGCGTCGTGTGTGTATCCGGCTGACGACTGACTGGGGAACGCGCGGCGAGCAGGACGGTGTGTCACCCATTCGCGCCGCGAAACCCGAAGAATTGTTACGTAAAAACCTGCTTTCTAATCGACTGAAAGGGAACGTCGGCAGCGTCGTGACGCCCCTCGCGCGATTTTCCTACCACCTCGCCTCCCGCTTTCCGCCCCGTTCGACTACGCGCCGGCCATCGATCATCCCCGAGACCATTTATAACGACGTCTCCACGGACGATGCATTATCGTGGAAGAGATGTTGTGAAAATACCTTTACATTAGTGGAATCTGAATAAGAAACTGGTTTTCGAGAATTTGAGTCTGTAATGCGTTGGATTTCGATGCGAGTGATGTACGATGCTTCGCGTTTCAATTTTGACAAACCGAGCGAGTGTATCGTTACAGTAGGTTTTGTCGTTGACTATTTTGTAATTGTCGTTCGAATCAATTTATGTGTAATTAATGGAAATTTATAAATAAAAGGATAAACAATTTTGGATCTCCGTATTTTGAACACTTTTGCCATCTACGCTCCGAATGTAAAATATTTATGCGAAATTACATTGTAACATTGAAGTTTTAGAAAAGATTGAATGATACAAAAGAGACTGAAAAATTAGCGGGAATCGAAATGGTTCGAGATCCGATCACGTTCCAAGAGAAAAGTCTTGAACGTCTCTGTCGCAGGCGTCTGGTCCCTCATTCCACCTGATCGATTCCGCACGGTCATCGATCATCCGGCAGACGGATCGACGCGACGCGCGCAAGGGGAGAAAACACATCGTTACTAATGGCGATCGACGGTCTCGAGGTTGAAGTTCAAGGTTAATCCACGAAGAAGCTGCCGCCGGACCCTGTTCATCGAGAAATGCGAATCGATATGTACCGGGCGTCCCCGGGAGTACTGTCGTACGAATCTTTTCCTGAGAGTCTAAAGACTGCTCCGAAATATCGTAATGCTATGTATCTACTGGACGTATATTGATAAATCTTTAGATCTTTCCGCTATATCGAACAGGAATTCGATAAATTTGTATCAAACAATAATCCTAAATAAATTCGTTATTTAAGAACAAAAAGAACTTTTCAAATGGAATTTTAAAAACAACTGAAGTAAAATTGTGTATTTCATTATATTTTACTCGTTTCTTCTACTATTTCATTCTATCGTCAATCTAATTAGTTCGTGCTTCTTTTCAATCGAGAGGAATCCCAAGTAGATAATCCCAATTTAAAGGGCAACGAAGTCTGAACCTTTCCCATCCCCTAAACAAGTTACTCCCTCTATAACCCCGAATCAAGGTCGCGATGAAAAACTTCGAACCAAGTTTAATAAATAAGAATTCCACTCAGTCGGGTTTCATCAATTGAAAATACCATCTCGCCTGTATTATTTATATCTGAAATTCGCGACGAATCCACTTGTGAGAATCAATTCTCGCGAGCCCAGTACGAATTTGCAGCGCAACTGGCGGTCGAGGAGGAGCAGCGTACACCTGCAATAGTTTCGGCAAAAATTCTGCCAAGCGGACGAACGTCGAGGCGTTGGATCACAAGGACGCGCGGAGACAAAGGAAAGTCCGCCGCTCATGATTTATTTATTCTAGAGCGACTGAACTCGATATGTTATTGTCATCCGCGGCACGAAAGTTAATCGATAACGCGCGCCTCACCCGTTATTCACCTCACGTGTCGTCCCGATGTGTACGCTGTTTCTCCTTTGCTTCTGCTGCTGCTGCTGCTGCTACTTGCCTCCGAACTACTGCGCAGACAGACTCTGAATTTGACGTGCCATTAGCGAGGCCCTACCGCCATTTTCTTGTCGAACATTCCTTGCCCTTTTTTCTCTTTTTAGACTCGACTTTAACGAGTTCGTTCCGATTTCAAGCGTCTCGGGGGTAAAAGCTACATCCCTTCGAATTTCATTCTCTTTTGTGCAGTGGGAGTTATACAGGGTGCTTCAGAAATCGTGGTGCAGCAGGAGAAGGAATAATTCTTTGTTCAGTTAATAGAGCAATTGTCACTGCACATGAAAAACTAGGTGGAGAATAATAATTACTTATATGACACTTCAAAATTTGAAAAACTGTCTAGTGCCTCTACTGTCCAGTGGTAACCGTATAACGTGTCTGTTCGTGACTTACCATTTCCACTTTGTATGATATCAATGAATGCCTATTGAGTAAACATTCGACGTCGATTATCTTGTTTATGTACAAATTTTGTTCTACATTTTCGACTAATTTCTTTCGTGTAGATTCGACTTCTTCTCCGGCGTACTACTGTTTAAGGAACACCCTGTGTGCATGGAGCTGATCCGGGATTTTCTATTATTTTTCTCTGTGACGATTGTGCAAAAATAAAATGTATAATATAGAATTGAATGAATACCCTATAACACAGTGTAACTTGGTTTTGAGAAGTTTCCTTGTACGATCATGAATAAAAGATATTTGTATGTTCCGACTTACATCATCCCGTACAATTGCTTAGGGAATAATACATACATGAAACTGAACTAAAATTAGCCGTACGTTCAGAAATACCTGGACACTGAATTCCACACATATATAATTCCCGATTACAACCTACGCACGGGAGACACTATTACGTTCGTCACAAGCCATCCCTCGCTTGAGAGTGAAAAAGTCATGAATCATGTATCGGATAAATGGAAGAAAAAGAAGAAAAAAGCGTATAAAAAGTTCAACAACGATAGTTGCCAGGCTCTCTCTTCTAATATAAACCAGCAACGTCGGATACTATCGAATACCTATCTATCCAGACGATTCCTCTAAAGCCAATGAACTTCGTCTCCTTATTAACCCTTTGCACTCCGGAGGTGACTCTTGGTCACCACTCGATTTGACACAGTAAAACTACAGAATTTGATATTTAACGCTAAAACTAAAAACCAGGTAGGTCAAAATGACCAATTCCTAATTTCTTCTTTTACAATTATTACAATGCCACAAACACTTCTCTAAAAAATGATTAAAGAATTTGATTTAGTAATACCTAAACTGAAATATAAATCAATTAACATATTAATAAATTTAGGCTTTTAGCATTTATAAAGAAATTTGTAGAAGTCAGTTTAAGTGATCGGTAGCTCTAGTGCTAAGCACGCGGTATTTGATGTTTCGAAAGAACATTCGATTGAGTTAACCTTTTGCACCCGGAAGTTTCTTCCGAGAAATATTTAACATTTTTTGACGAGGCGGAGACGATATTGTTTGAGACTAACTCGAAGAATCACCAGTACATTCAATTGACTTGCATTTCAGGTTTGCTATTACTGAATTAGTTCCGTTAATTTTTCGTAGAAGTATCTACCTTTTCAGTAACCGTAAAAGAGGAAATCAAAAATAAGTCATTCTAACCCATCTGATAATTCTAGTGTTAACGAAAAGAATATTTTAGAGTTCCCAGAAACACAGGAAAAACGAACTATCTCGAAGAACGCATATAATTTACACCAGAACGACTCTGGGCTCTCCGAACGTCCTCTAAAGGTGAAGTTCGATTATTCTGTTATCCTCCTTCGACGCGACATACACACACGCACGGGAGCAGCCATAAGAGCAAAGGCTAAAACGAGACTTGTTTACCCAGCGGAGGAAGACGAAACAGGAACACGCTCCATATGCACGCGCGTCCCAAAAGCCAACAAAAAAGTTGGTCCGCTGCAATGGTGCAGCCGCGGAGAGAGCTTGGAGGTCACACGGAACCTTAAACACTGCGTAGAAGATCCGAGAGAGAGAGAAAGAGAGAGAAAGAGAGAGAGAGAGAGAGAGAGAGAGAGAGAGAGAACGAGGAGGGAAGAAGAGAAGGGAAGAAGAGAAGGGTGGACGACGCGAACTGCGCACTTTCGCAGTTAGGGGACGATGATTCACGAGCGCACGCGAGCCAACCTGACTGCCCGATAAATATGCAAAGCATTCGTTGCAGCGTTATAGAAAAATTCGACTGAAGACCCCGGCCAACGCGAGCCATGTTGTGCCATCGCCAGTCACACTTCAGCCGATGATAACACGTCGATCGGGACACGCGTGTGTTGTCCGCCGCCCGAAATCGCAGCGGTCGTGCAACCTTCGAAAACAAACGATAAATCGGTTGTTTGTGTTTTCCCGGTCGCGGCTAAAAATACGGAATCTTCGCTCGGGATGATATAACTGGGCGTCATCGGGAAACGAAGATATCAGTGATAAAAGGAACTAAACGGGCGACGATTACACGCCAATCTGTGTAATGATGAACAATATTGAGTCATGCTGAGGTTTTATAATTGTCCGAAGGAAAGTGGCTATTGAAAAATTTCGATGGGAATGAATTAGCTACAAGCTTCTTTGAACTGGCTCGCGTGTTTCCAAATTGGGCAAACAAGTTACGTAGTTGACTTCTAAGTTAACCTACATAGTTGATACTCTTGTGCAAAATAACTACATACAGTCGGTTTCTCCGAGAATTGTCAATTCCATTTTCAGTGTAATGCTAATGAGTAATTGTTACCAGTACGCTGCGCCTTAACCTCTCTTGTCATATAATGACAAGTGAGACTAGTGATGAAGATTTCTAGATTAATTTAACAGAATCCAATGTTGTTCATTCCTCACGGATCAAAGTAACAAATTATTTTGCTATTATCAATGTATTATCTTCAAATGAAATTTCCACTTAAAGTAGAACCAGTGACGGCTCACGTATAGACACACGTGCAACTGCACCCCAATTTCCTCTTGATATTATCGATAACATTTAATATAATAAGTCTTTTTTTTCTTTAATTCTTCCTTTATACTTGTACAATATATAATCGTTAACACTAGAACTACGTACCAGTCAAAATGAATGCATTTCTTGCAAATTGTCGATAGTAAAATGCTCAGGAGTTCAGTAGTGGAAGTAAATAATACGCCAAGGGGTTAATACGGATACTAGCGCAGATATTTCGGAGGCAACGAACTTCTAACTGAACACTGTCAAATCTCAAACGAACATGTCGCTCGACACGTGAGCACCGAGGCTCGTAATAAGTACAACGTGCCGCGGCACGAGTTACTGTCGCACAAGTCACGTTCGATTACGACACTATCAATATACTTCGCGCGATCGATAATCTTCCAGCATGAACCGCCGCTCGGCAAGTTTACAAGCAGGACTGTTTACATAGAATCCTACCTTCGATCTCCATCAACATCCATGGCCTATCGATCGAGTTATTCGATAAAGAAAAACCTTGCTGGCAGGGAAAACATCAATTTCCTCAACCGTGGCCAAATAATTCTACGAGATCGTCACATCAACTTATTCGAAATTGAATGCCTGCATCTTTTGACTTTTTACGCCAACGTTAATCACTGAAATACCGAACATTCCGTCGTATAAGAATTCGTTTGTGCACGCAGTTACGTATGGTTAACCTGTTAACAATGGAATTTACTTTAAAAATCCCTCGTGGAATGCGTAATTGAAATCGAGCAACGACGAGTATGCTACAAAGTGTTTTTGTTTGATAATATATATTATGTATTCCAGAGCAAGCGATTTCTTTTCCTTCTGTGACGAGAATACTCGACAGCAAATTTCGGTTCTAAAATGACAGGCATACAGGCCCACGTAGTGAACTGGTTAGCACTAGAAATACCAGAGAGGTCAAAATGGCCCATGTCTGATTCCTTTTACAATTATTACAAAAGTAACAAATTCTCGGAGAAATGACTGTAGAAATCGATTTAGCGATAGGCAAACTGAATTGTAAATCAATAGAAATTTCAATAGTACCACTGACGAAGTTTCTATAGAAAAACTTTGAAAAGTCAATTTGACACTAGAACTACCGAACAGGTCAAAATGCCATTCCAGATTTCTTCCTTTCACGATTATTAAAAAAATAGCAGATTCTCTGGGAGTTATTAAAGAAATTGATTTGGCAATATGCAAATTGAATCATGAATCAATTACAGCCTCGATAGATGCACTCTTGAAGTTTCTATGGAGAAGTTTGAAAAAATGAATTTCAGTGGTCGGTAGTTATACGTTGAATTTCCCGACTAGGGAAAAAATGGGACACCAGTAACCCACTTGAGCCGATATCGGAATTCCAAAAGCGATCCTTTCCCCGTGTCGCGCGTGAACCGAATACCATTCGAATCCGATCACCGTGTAGGCTCGCTCGGAAGCGACGAAGGCGAGCGTGTTTCGCGAGCGACGCTCCCGACCGTCCTCGCGAAGAGACGCGCCAGTTTGCACCTTGCCGTAACAGACGCGCGGAAATTTCCTACAACGATTCTCCCTAGATATCGTTCTCGGGCACGTGTCTCGGTGTAGTCGATATACTACAGGAATAGTCAAGCAGCGAACGAGCGAGGTCGCGAGCGGAACAATTATCGGAGGTATGGATCTAGTGACTTTAATGTGCAATCGTTTACGTGGAAACGTCGGTCAAGTCGCGTTCCGCGGCGTCGAAGCAATTTATCACTTGCACGGGCGTAACCGATCGTCCCGATGACTTCGTTGGACGCGACTACATTGTTTCGCTTGACGTGTCCTAACCGGAACCCGAATACCCGAGCAGAGTGAACTTCAGCCTACTCGCGGTTCCCTAGTGACCGAGCAACACTAGAATCCGTGCCACCGATGTTTTGATCGGTGAAAAATGTCCCCGGCCTGTACGCAGTATTCTCACTGTTGACGGTCGACCATTCACCGGTACATTATAGTTTTTGCACTTTTATCTTGAAATTCAAAGTTCCTGACACTATTACTCGAAGTATCTACCAATTAACAACAGTCGTCTTTGTAAGGAGTTCACTTCACTTCGACTAACTTTCGCGTTTCAAGTCACTCGAGACCAGCTTCACTTTCAGCTTCACCGATTTCTCTAGCTCATTCGAATCCCGATGGAACAAATATAGTATAATACATTTGTAATTAGAACAAATACAGAATAAATACTTCCAACGGATTCCCGTCCGAATAATCTCGTCTAATGCACTACGTTCGAAGACGCTCGTCCATCAACACAACAACACAACCGTATATCCAAGAAGGAAGGCGACTGGACTGCAGTAGCGTTCGTAACAATCGTAGTCTCGGCTCCCGGATCGAATCAACGAACATCCGAACCACTTACGTCACTCAGGATCTTGACACCCGAGAGAAATGTCACTATAGCGCCGCTTCACTGTTCGTCTATCGGCCGTGTGTACGCAGCGTTTCGAACTTCCTAGAACTGGCACGAAATCCCGGGTCCACGGTAGACACAGACAGTATACGGGTGTACAGGCCGTGGCCGATCACGTTTTTCTCGACGATACGTAGCACACGTGCCCGGGCAATGGCGAAACACGTGGCCAGCGCACTCGGACACAATCAAATCATCCGCGAGTAAACCTCGGCGAAAGAAACATTGCGATCGACATGCTAAGAGTTGAAAATAAAGACGGACAAGGAAGGTTAGAAAGAATAAGCAGGGAAAGAGGAATAACAGAGAATAACACAAACAGCAATATACCTCGCGCGCGCGTACCGTCGATCCGACTCAGTGACTCAATGACTGACTGACTGACTGACTGACTCGGAGATGCACGGCGCTAAAGGCAACTGAATGCCAGCCGGCCGGTCCGGCTCGTTGCATGG